AAAATTCGAAACTGTGCTCGATAAAACAAACTTTATTAGAGAGTTTGGATACTTCTAATGTATATCCTCTATTTTATAATTATGAAAATACAGGGTCTTTAATGTTCTCTAATCAAATCATGAAGGACTAGAATTGTAATTTGTGGATTTAATGAGATGGAATCTCTCATTTTCTCATGACGTCACTAAACGTTGTGTTCTCGAAACCTTTTTTTACGAATGACAGAAAAGAAAAGAAACGAAAACAGAAAAAAAGTAAAACAAATTCGTGTTCTTGAAACCTTTTAAGTAGATAAAGAAAAAAAAAAGAAATAGGTTTTCTTTCAAAACTCTCAACCCAGACGGGGAATAAAGGGAAGGAAATGAAAAGAAATTAAAACCCTTTAAAAAATTTATTAGAATTACAAAACTACCCAATCTTTCATATTAAATGATGTATTTTTAAGGGGTATATTCGTAAAAAACGACATCTTTCTTTTTCTTTCTCTCCTTTTCAAGAACACGAAAAGTTATTTTATTTATTTTATTTTCCTTACTTTTCGAGAATACAAATAAAAAATTATCTAACCGCAAGAATGGTGCCTGATTGGTTTGAGCTTAAGCTCCAAAGGTTAAAAGAGTCTGGAGGTCAAAAGTTCAAATCCAAGGAGGAATAAAAATCCCCTTATGGCCAGAGACGGACCTACTTTGGTGGTTATGGTGGCACATGCCACCGTATTATCCCTCTGTCGAAGGGTAAAAAAATTTAGGTTCGTGAAAGGTGCAACCATATTAATCTGTTGTGTGTCACCGTATGTATTTTGAAACTACAAATAAGAACAAGTTGTATTTGGTAGAATTGGTTTGCAAGGTTTTAATTCCACCTCAGACCCAAATTCGAATCGTGTTAGTGTCATTTTCTTAGTCAAATGGTGCGACCATATGAAAAAATTTATGGGTTCGTCCCTGCTTGTGGCCACAGAGATTCAAATACGRTGACTCTATACTACCCACAAAACAGATGATCAACCTGATATTAGTGAGCTTACAAAACAGTTTGAATATCCAGGTTAATAAAAAAAATCTTAATTTTCTTTTCTTTCCAAATTTGAGAACACAACTTATGGTTGTGTGGGTTTGTTGTGAGGAGACTTTTTGAGAAGGAAAGTGGGGGTTTGTGGTTTCCTTATTAAATGATAGATTTTATTTATGGTGGAAATCTTCCATTAATTTAATTGTAAACTATGTCATTAGCATTAGAATGGAGTTTTCATGTGGACCCAACAATTATTGGTGTATTTTTAAGACATTAGTTTTCCTTTAATTTTGGAATTAGATTCATTATTTTGTCTTGATTTTGATTATCTGAGTTCTAAAACCTTATGTTTTTGGGTTTTAAGTTTTGGAAAGTGGGTTGTGTTGGATTTTTGGTTACGGTGGAAATTTAGAACGAGAAATCAATTTGAAGAGAATTTTCGGAATAGGTCACTCTTTTGACCTTTTTACACCCTGTTTTGGATATTAAAAGTYAGGAGTCCTTTCGATTAAGTTTAAAAGGTTGATTGATTGGACACTTTTTCTTGATAATTAGAGCGTGTGATCATTCATTCAGGTGTTGGTTTTATTGGGTATTTTCCAAGTTCGATATCTTAAAGTATCGAGACTTCAGGTGAGTTCCGTTAATGTTATTTCGAATGTAAATCACTGATTATGGTATTGTGTCTTGACATCTTGAACCATTTCTTGTTTAAATTAGATTTTAATCGCATGTGGATGTCGTGTTTAGTGTATGGTGGTATTCATGGTTGGATTTGCACAGTGGGAGCAGTGTATCTTGAGATAGTGGAATCTCTTGGGAGGTTATTATCTGTGTGCCTTGGATTCGTGTCTTGAACATTCTGGACATGCATCTACTTGGGGCCTTGGTTATGAGTGGAGCGACAGTGTGTCTATGAATATTGTGTAAAGTCCGTTTGTTTTGTGATTTGTTATTTGGTTACCTTGTTTTCATGATGGGTTATTTCATCAAATACTTCATTGTTCATTGCGAAAATAGGGGATTCACTAGACCTTTTGTTCTAACCCTCGTTTTTAAAATTGAATTGTTTTCAGAAAAATTTCATGTTAAGAGTTCTTCGATGGGGAAAGGGAAGATGTAATTCTCACCTTAGTAGCGGTTGATGTTCGGGTTTAAACTAATATCTTATCTGCCTTAGGTTCGAGTTCAAGCGTCCATAACTATTACGACCAGTGAAATTATCAGAATTGATGTCTTGAAGTCGTAATAGCCCTGGATACCCTTTCAAAAACAAAATGAAGTCAAATTATCTATACTATATTAAAAAGAGGGAGTTACAGTTATTTTGAGATTTACAAGTTATTATGCTAAATGTACAAACTTTAAAGCTTGCACAACCGCCCTGGTGTCTCACCTATTGAAAATCAAATCATTTTTAATTTCTAAGTTACACTTAATACCTTATAATTAGTTATTTAATTTACTTGAAATCCCTTAATTTTTTCATTCTTCATTCTTCATTTTACATTTTTACCATATTAACATAAATAATCATATATGAACTAAAACACATTAAAAAAAATACATTTTTGTTTTACAGATTATACCATTATAATCGTGTCGTCAATACCTTCAAAATGAGTTCAATATTGAATATTTTTTGCTTTAATCATACTATTAAATATCAAGAATACATATGAATTAATTTGTTTTATATTTCTTACGTTTTTTCATTTTCCATTTTACACTTTTATCATATTAAAAATACATAATTATAGATTAACTAAAATACATTAAAAATACGTTTTTTTGTTACAAATTATACCATTATAATCATCTCGTTTTTGATTGCTTAACTTTTACTGTTATACAAAATATTGCACAAATTTTGAACATGCACAAGTTTATGATTGTTATTTTGAATCTTATTAAAACTAAACAAAACAAACCAACCCAGTATATTCCAGTTATATGATGACTTTTTCTCTACATTTTGATTTTTGAAAATGCTAGACTAGTAGACCTTATTGCAATATCTGAATGTTGTAAATGTCATACCTGAATGTTGCATACGTATTCAACTTTATGCTTATAAAAGCCGACATCTATTGTAAATGTCCTGCTTGAAAAAGCATTTGGTATTGATTTTGACTAGTTAAAAAAACCCAGTACAATGCATATATATATAAAAGTTATTATACAACTCTTTACATTTGTACAACCAATACAACCCAATCTCAACCGTCCATTTAATTTGATGAATATGTGATTTCATAAAAGTTTTGATTGTTTCTTAATATAAAATATTGGTCATAATTAATGAATATTATTCATCTTTTATAAATGTACAAATCATAATAAATGAACTCACATCATTTCTATAAATATCTCAATTAATTAAGTTGTATTGTTTGTATAAATGGACATGGTTGTATTTGAAATATATATATATATATATATATATA